TGAACCCGTACTCATATTCTGAATTTTTAGACTGACTGACTGACTGACTGAGTTTTGGTTTTACGCCGCTTTTGGCAATATTCCAGCAACACCACGGCGGGGGACACCACAAATGGGCTTCACACATTGTACCCATGTGGGGATTCGAACCAGGGTCTTCGGCGTGACGAGCCAACGCTTTAACCACTAGGCAACCCCACCGCCCCCTGAATTTGTAGACAGTCCAACAGGTTTGATACTTGTTTAATGTATTAAAACAAGCAGAAAAGGAGTGCAAGGAGTAAATCATTGATTGGAAATAAGAACAATACACCGCACGTTGCAGAACAACGACTGTTCTACAGTAAGTTGACATGCCACCATGCATGAACATGTGTCGAAAAGAGAGAAGACTTTGTTTGACGACTATTTTGGTGCTCCTTGGTATATGGCCAAGGTCTATAAATAATCGATTCTGGACCAGACAATCCAGTGATCAACAGCATGAGCATCGTTCGACGCAATTGGGAACCGATGACATGTGTCAACCAAGTACGACAAGCATGGGCTCTTCTTGAATGTGAATGTAGACATCTCAAATAAAGGTACTGTTGGTATGAGTCAGATTCGAAACTCGGACATTTTTAAAAATACACATTATAATGTATAAATGGTACCTTTGGACTTAAATAAGTCTACAAATATTTCTGAATACATCTGGTGATTTTGTGTTTGTATCACTTACAACATCCGACGGAGTCTACTAACAATGTAATCTCCCCATTTGTATTCAATAATCGACAGCCTAACACCCGTGCACTCTCGGAATACCTTGTGTATGTTCTGAATAGTTTCACTGTATACTCAAGGTAAGAAAAGACAACACTGACATCACCATTGCGGACAATTTAATGAGAACATTGAACAATACCTCAACATCAGAAGGACGATCGGGATGTGTTGCTATATAATACACCCTGGTTCTGGTTTGGTGTTTTACGCCGTACTCAGCAATATTCCAGATATGGTGGCGGTCTGTAAATAATCGAGCCTGGACCAGACAATCCAGTGATCAACAGCATGTACATCGATCTACGCAATTGGTATACGATTACATGTGTCAACCCAGTCAGCAAGCCTGACCACCCGATCTTGTTAGTCGCCTCTTACAACAAGCATGGGTTACTGAAGATCAATTCTAACTCGGACCTTCACGGGTAGATCTTTAAAACAGGTACGCGGAATATGTACGAGCTGATTAACCTGGACTTATGTAACTACGCTGTTTTCTGATCGCAAAGGACATCGAATTCAAAATATTCGTGTTGTTCTCCCGTGCAAGTCATGACATTGGCCCACAAGCATCAGTGAATCGACACGGCAACATCAACCAGTACGTTCGTCCAGGTGTGGTAACAATCAGCTGATTGTGTCAGAGGCCAGATCCATGGCTTTCGGTGACTGATGCTTTGAAGGGCCCGTTGCTTTGGAACAACACCATCGTCAACATCAAAAGCGCCAAAGACATGAACAATTTCAAAGGACTGGTAAAAACCTATCTGTACAATAATATTTTCAACTCTCATTGATCTCTGTGTTCAACCAGGGGCGGCGAGATAGCCTAGTGGTTAAAGCGTCAACTCGTCACGCCGAAAACATGGGTTCGATTCCCCATATGGGTACAATGTGTGAAGGTCATTTCTGGTGTTCCCTGTGATATTGTTGAAATATATTGTTACAAACAGCGCAAAACTGAACACACTCATTTACCCTCTGTTTAACCACTATACTCTTACGAAGGCACCGTTGAGCAAATCCACATCTTACCCTAAATAAATTCATTTTTATCTTTTACTTTTACCGTCGGATCAGAGCGACTCATTCTGCATAATGTGTTAAAACTACCACGTCAAGGCAATTGTTCACATGGTATAACAATACACACTTTGTCAACGGTTACAAATCAACATTACATAAGATCAATATCTGATTGCGGATCAACAACGTAGTGAATAAAGCGTATGATAATGACATCTACTGACTACACATGTCTGTATATAGTGACGGTTGGACCAGCAAGTATATTCATTCAACACACTGACTAAACACGTTACAGATCGATATTCAGTCGGAAACATTAACAAAATTAGATACAAATTTACAGCACGAGGTAAATAACACATTGTTACATTATTCTATCAGCAGAGTTGAACTTGGATGTTTTCCAGTAATCTGTATTTGCAACATGGTTTAACAAAATGAATGCTTTTCGTGCTGAATTAAGCTGAGAAGGCTGGGATATATCTTTCAAACAGATGCTTACCAGTCAACCTTTATCGAGTTTACACTCGGGTATCATGCTACAACAAATATCCTTGGGTAGAAACATGTGTAAGCAGCGCTTCACCAGATAGTTTTGGTATTCTGCTTCTCGAGGAAGGTCTTGTATGTAGCGATATTCGTTGTTGTGACTCTATTTCTCATTTTAAACCTGCCAATCTGACTGGACAACAGGACGGTGGAGATAATTTAGGAAAACATTTGTTGTGAGGCAAGATGGCCGACTTGGTGAAGTCACGGAAAACTTCCTGTCCAGTTATTACGTATCTGGAGAAGTTTTTGTTTCGGATCAAAGTGATACATATGCGAAGCTGATACCCCAACACCGGTGCTGGAAACGTTAGTTACATTATTTGTTAAATAGATAGTAGGACTGTAGTAGTGGCCAGAGTTACGGAACTACAGGATTGTATAAATGAATAGCAGGAAAATAGAAGATTTGCAAAAATAGTTTAAAGAAAATATCAGGCTGTCTTGAAAGTAACGACCTGTTCTGTGCAATGAAAGCTAAAGTTGCGCTGTGATATTAAGATCCTTGTGTTCCAAATGAGAGACAAGGATGCACAAACTGATCTCCTGATAGACGAAGAATAATATTGACATTATATCAAGAAAGGTGAATGGCGTGTTAACAAGAGGACAAAAGAGCTGTACTTAGAGTCGCCAATAATCCACGATAGAGTCAGCAGCGCTGAAGTAGTGTGTAGGGCACCTCGTCACTTCAAGAGGACAGGAGATATGGTGATATATCGTATGGGAGTCACCTGACAGAGTCACAACAAACCAACGACAACGCAATAAGACCACTAACGGCAATGACATCGATACAGAGAAATCACCTCCCCGGAGAAACATCGTGAACGACACAAGACATCCAAAACCACTGTGAGATTGGCACAGGTGATTCCAAGGTACCTCACCTCGGATTCACAACAGGATTGCCAGGACAAGACAGCATTAGACAGAGTCCGTGAAACGGTCTGAAAATGAAGAGGAATAAGCCTGCCGACCAAGATGGTATAGTGATGATAGTACTGTCCTCCCTGCTGTACACCTGGACACCTTGGTACTCTTTCCCCATAAGATGCCTCAGATCGCTGCTGGACAGAGTGCCATACACAGGGCTGCTCCAGAAAGCAGATTATTCACGTTAAAGAACTCAACTCTCGCTATCTCCCAAAGAGATTGCTGTACCGCGCCTATGGAGGACCGAACAAGCGCTACAAACACACAGTGAAAGCTTTCCTGAAGTCCTAGCATCGCCCCTGACTCTCCCGAAGAAACTGAACAAGACAACACTGCCTGACGCACTCTGATCACAGAAGCGAGCGGATGGAGCAGAAACGTCAGCAGTGGAACAGCAGAGCGAACAACGAGCCAGCGAGAGACGAACTTCATTTTCATCCTTCACCTGATAGAGGAGTAAGGATATACTCCGAAGCGTTGTGTTCCTCATAACAAAGAAGATGACATCCATGAAAGACTCTCTTCCTTATGTGTATCACTTCAAAGTGTCATTCAAATACCATCATCTTCATTATTATAGAAACAAAAATCGTTTGTAAGAGTCCATGTCAACCACATATTCTCACGCTCATTCATTAATTCATTGACACGCGCAGGGTACGAGGGGCATGAGCGAATTCTTTCTGCGACAATGTGCTATCTGGGGACTACAGTAGAGCTAATTATTATTTCGTTGTAAGGTTATCGTTACCTTGGTTTAAAGGATGATGTAAATTCCTCAAACTAAAACAACACAAATTATATAGTTCATCTTAACTGTACATGTGTAGTTTCTTATTAAAACTTATACTTTTGCCTTTCCGAAAGTATCTTATAGATCATTTGAAATTTCAATTTAACCCATAAAGTGTTTCAACCAGACATGTAAAGTTAAAAGTGATAACACATGATGCAAACATATTTGGCACATTTTACAATATACAATAAATTAACTACATCAAAATTGTAAAATTCAATCACGGAACACACAGCAATGATTATCATTTGTATGCAGATGCATTGTACACAAACACACATTTGTGCAATAATGTTATTAATCCCGACTCCAGTATATGAATCAGTCGTTAAATCCATGTGTGCATGCTATTTGCGTGATAACATTTGGCTGGAAAATTGCAGACAATCTAACAAACTTGAAAAACATATATTTTCTGGACTTGTACGACAACCTTACAATCCCAATTATTACCTGAACGTTTATGATCGACCTGCATTATAAACAAGAAATTAATTCTGTCATTCTATTGATTACTACTATCTATACCATGCACGGTGACCAAAGGAAGAATGCATTAATACTTTACAGTACGTCTATTCGACATATAATAAGTTTACACACTATAGATAACAAATGCTAAATTAAATGTGACCTATTAAACGCTTAAAATTTAACAAATAATCATTTAATTACCAGTCAAATTAAATGCCCTGGGACCACTCGTACAAAGAATCTGAGGCTTTTGTAAGCCTACGTTAGAGCATTGGAATAACGATATCTTACTTCTAAAGTCGTTTCTATATGTTGGTTGTGAAATACACGAATATGTATGTGAACAGTGTTAGTTCGGACACAAAGCACAGGACATGCAGTGACATGGATATTCAAATTGTGCTCATCTCTTCACGAGGTCATCTGAGATCACCGACGGCCAGTATCAGGGATCAAATAACCGGAGGTTGCTTCCATCATCCACGAGGTTCAGGCACAAATCGGGGTTGTTGCACTGTCTTCTGGTGGAACTGCAATATAAACCAAATTAGATCATAAACTCCACACAAGAACGGGAAAAGTACAGTTCAGCTACAATATTGTTCAATATGGAACAAACGTTATGGATAACAACTTCTAGATTTCGTGGATGCGACGTTTCGATACAGATTCTTGTACCGTTGTCAGGCAGGAATACGGTACAGGACAACAGTACTGGAATCTGTATCGAAACGTCGCATTCACGAAATAAATATGTTGTTATCCATAAAGATTGTTTAATATTGTACGTCCCAACTTCTAAAATGGCGGGGCGGTGGGGTAGCCTAGTGGTTAAGGCTTACGCTCGTCATGTCGAAAACCCGGGTTCGATTCCCCATATAGGTACAATGTGTTAAGCCCATTTCTGGTGTCCCCCGCCGTGATATTGCTGGAATATTGCTAAAAGCGGCGTAAAACCAAACTCACTCACTCACTCTAAAATGGCACTCAAGCAAGTTATAATATTGTAGTTTATTCATGTCCCTGTATGAGAAATGGATTCATAATATAAAACACTTTAGTTTTGCTGCAGACACGTTATATTTACATACTCTTTTCTGTGAAACAGATGGGTTTTAACAGGTTAATGTTATGATACCTGATTACATTGTATGACGTGGGAATTTACAATAATAGATGTCGGATGGATATCGGTATCATTCTGATTCACGCTTTTGTTTTAATCGTGTTGGAAGAAGCCGATACAATATCATTGTCGATATAACTTCAAGATGAGGATAAATGTAATCCATTTTTCGCATTTCATGGTCGGCAAACATTTATTTGTTCATTCTCGAAAAGAATATGTTGGCAATATAGAAAACAACTGCAGTTGCGTATAATCTGTCGTTTGTGAAATGCAGCTGAAAGACTCGCTTTATACCACTGATATTACTGATCATGTATATCACATAATATTACTAGGGTATGCTATTACCATTACTATAGTATGGTATGCTATTATTAACGCTATGATATGACTGTTTCTGGCACTACAAGTCCTGGAACAACGACTACAAAACGACAACAATCACTTTTGTCGCAAACGATGAATTCCAAAGGCATCAATACCCTGCAGTCCATTCACAGCATAATTACCATCTGTCTCCGCCACAGAGAGGTACATGGGAACAGTAACGAAACATACTCCACAATATAGTGCACATCGAAATTCAACCAGCTGATTGTATTGGGACAACGTTGCAGTAGAGATGTCCCTGAAGGAATAGTTGAGCGTCTTTGCCTGAAAGAATAACGTGATCTCAGTAAAAAATGTACATATTTTACATACAGAATATTATCTCGTTCATTTCCGACTCGTGGAGGCGGTGGGGTGGCCTAGAAGGTAATGCGTTCGCACGGTCTGATGTCCTTGTTACACTGTTTAACTATGTATCACATTAACGGTACAAAATATAAATAGTTGTGACACCATTTTTTAAAAGACACGTGTTCGATTTCCCACATGGGTACACTGCGTAAAGGCCATTTCTTGAGTCCCCCGGTGTGATATTGCTGGAATATTTCTATAAACGGCGTACAACCTATAAACGGCACGAGACTCATGAGAGTGCGTAACACAGGTATATCTACATATTACACGTACAAATGTTTCCATATATTTCTTACATGTGGCACTAAATGTTGTATTCTGTATACCTTAAAATAATCAATGTTTGAATGGCCAGTTTTCTTTGAAATCCACGCCATCCATGTTCTGTGTACCATCATCCAGATGACCTAATCTAAACGTACCGGGAATGTTGGCCAAAATATTACTGAGCAAACAGACACTGATAAATGTTAAAACAGATGCAGATTGCGTCAATTCGCTGATATTAAGTGTTGGCGATTACGTGCAAAAAATCGCAAGATTCTGTACTGTACTGAGAATATAACAAATGTTACAATGTACATGTCAGCATGCTTACCCAGTGATAAATATTCGTTACAAGTATGGACTGGTACCAGAAATCATTTGGACTCGCACGCACACCCGCACGCCCACATACTCTCAAACTTGTTTGGTATTTTGTTTTCACATGGGCCACATTATACAAGGTATCTGACAAAGTATGTAATTCTCAAACACTATCTGAACGATTTCTGTGACTTCTCCCCGATATGAAGCCTCTGCTGGTGTACAACTGACCGTGTTATTGAGAACAAGTCCTATTCCTCTGAGGTTTAGTCCTGTTCCTCTGAGATCTAGCACAGCCCGTCCTGCAGACCCACAGGTAGAGTTTACCAAATGCGAACATCCAAACACTTTTCCCACCACCGAACTGATAGCTCCGCTGCTGTCCGTCTTGTTGAAGAAGGTTGTATCCGACTTGTTAATGCTCAGATTCTTGTACACATTGAAGGTACCATGAAAACAAATACACATAAGCAGCTACAGATGAAAGTAAAATGTCAGGGAACATCACTTCGCCAAAAACACCTTTGAAAGCAGATGTGTACTATGATTATGGCATGGTTCTTAAAATTTATATACTTTAATTTTTTATCAATATAAAAATAATAACATGGATTGTTAAAGTGGTTTATATGTAATGTATATTACATACAGTTCGTAAAACGACAAGCGGGTGGGTGAACGATCTGTTGAACACAATTGGTATGCTCGACACACTTCATGAGTGAAGTGAATTTCAAGGCTGAAGATATCGGACACTTTCTCCACCTTTCTCAAATTAGTATAACCGTTGGGTTGATTTGTGTCTGCAGTCAGAGATATTCCAACTGTATGACAGCGGTCCGGCCAGGACGACACAGTCCAGGGACTGGCATCCACCTGAGTATCGATCCAACTGGGATAGGATGCATCTTGCATCTTGCAAGGAGGGTAGGTTGCTGAAGATCATTTCTAACCTGGATCTTCACAGGTGTAAACGATGGAACACCATATGTGCGTTTGTGAGATCAAATGTGTAAACCCACCTTTGAATTCCATGTTACGATAGGTACACAATAACCTATGATCGTCGTAACCGATTCTGTGGATCTTGTCAGGACAAAATATTGTCCAGAGTGATTATCTTCCCGACATCCATGGAATACGAACCATTGGTTTGCCAGGTCTTAGAATATATCTGATGCGCCCATAGTTCGTAGCGTTGAACAACAAACACAGGTACCTGGATTATGTCTACTTGAACGGATGCTACATGACAACAACTACCTTACCTCGATATCCAAACCAAACTTTGTAAGGACATAATATCCCAAATAGAATCTTGTCGAGTGCCACCATGAGCAGTTGTTAACTTGAGTTTCGTTAATGACGTAGGGTGTACTCAATGAGATGTACTCTGAAGGTGTACTGTTCATAGCATGGCAGTACACCTTTACTCGGGAACCATTCAGTAGTCGTGGATACAGCCAGTACTCTCCATCAGTGTACGTGGAACTGAGTTGCCGAACCTCGGAACAAGACGACACAGCTGCAGCAATATAAATAAACACGTCTTCAGGTGGACAGTGAGACATTATGGTGTGCATATCGTCATGAGTGAGTGAGTGAAAGAATATTTAATGTCGCATCGGCGTTATGTCAGCCATACCGGGTCGAGATCCATCGATTACACAATTAAATCACAAATACAAACATATACTTAGAAGGATATCTGCAAATATATTTACACATTTAATCATAGTAATATTTCTTCACTAATGTTTAAAAGAATTGCTATAAGCCATCAGCAACCAAAGCTACGCCATTCCGCCGGTGCATGAAAGGCCGTTGGTTGTGCAACTGATGCCGAACAACTAGTATGTAAGTACACCGGAACAATCTGAAACACCTGCAACGACAATGTCAAACGTTTGCTATACACCGGGAATCTCGTTTGTTTTAAAACAGTCAAGATATGTCCTTATGATTTGTTTTCCATCAGATCTTTGACATGCACAGTCATATATGGGTCAGATGGATTTAACGCTGTTTAGATCAGTCTTGTGTTTGGTTCTGCTATCTCCATGTTGGAGGCACAGGCCGTCGTGGAGCAAGTCTCATATTTCCTTCCACTTTACAGATCACGAGTATGGTGCCGATTGTTAAACAAGTACCCAATTACAAGGGTGAATCAGCACATGTTTTCCACGAGTAAGTGGACTGTGGCGCTGATATTGCATTGCGTACCCTTCCCGTGACAGGATCCTATGATATTCTTTGTATCTGAATTGCCCTGTCTGTGGCCTCTATTTGACATCATTCACACGACGTGGTGTATCTGAAATGCTTGTTAAGGCAGCGTTTACCCAAACTCACTCACTCCACAGTTCCGCAGTGGTAGCTCACCGATATAATTGCGGTTACTGATACTATATCCGATGTTATATAGCAGACGTATTGTAATAGTAGTGCCCAGTTACTTACATAGAACATAATGTTTGAAATGATTTATAAAAGCAGCTTAAAAGGACATATTAGATACAGCTGCATCAACTCACGCATGCAAGTCATCATGGTCCAGGAACCATCCGGGTTACAGGTAACATTTCCGCACGCCACATATCCCACAATGCACTTCAACGGCAAGGACTGGTTTACAGGGGTAAAGTGGCCGATTGGTGAAGAAGCGGTGGCGTTCTCAACTGTTGGCGGATCCGTGCAGTCTACAATGTACAGTGTGTGACTACCGTTTTACGCCGTGTAATATATATTTTCTAAGTAAATGCAGTGACTATGTGACTTACTAACTAACTTATACACTAAACGCCAAAAGACTGACTGACTGACTGACTGAGTTTGTTTTAACGCCGCTTTTAGCAATATTCCAGCAACATCACGGCGGGGGACACCAGAAAAGGGCTTCACACATTGTACCCATGTGGGGATTCGAACCCGGGTCTTCGGCGTGACGAGCCAACGCTTTAACCACTAGGCTACCCCACCGCCCCAACCGCCAAAAGAAACGTTACCCTCCTACCTTTTATGAATTACTGAAAAACTATCAAAGATATGTTAGAAGGGATTAGTTTACAAGAAAGCTGAACGACACAGCTTTATGCAAATTACGAAAAGAAATTCTCAAATGCATTCACATTTAGGTGAAATGCATCTTTTTCAGAAGAGGTAAATTGCCCTATTTTCGTCCATGCCGATATATACCAGTAACAGTGATTTAGATGTCCAAAAGAAAGGTTGAAATAAATTCTGCTTGAAGACAAAGATAAAACATTTAAAGTCACCATTTTTCAACTATTAAAACTTGAAAGAACTGTTGAAGAGTATGTAAAATTGTAAAATAATCATTCCTATGATTTCAGTCTTTTAAAACATTTTCTGCTGATTTGCATTAGTGAAAACAAGTAAAATGTGTCTTTGATATTGTGAAAAAATCTAAAACATCTAAAATTATCTTTGTTAACCTTTTTTGCTTGCAAGGTAACATTTTTCCATTTTCTGTTTGCACATAGCAATATCAATCGCCAAAACGCAGCAATATTCAAGCAGTATTTGCATCCATTTCACATGTAGAATAATTCTATGGGGTATAAAGAGAGTCTAGAATACATGATATGATACATAATTACGATAAATATGCCACGATTAACAGCTGAAGAGAGAGAAAGAGCCATTGGGATGGCGCAGATGGGGTCGACGTGTACATTCGGGGCTTCAGACAGACTGGGGTCACCGTAGACAAACCAAGAAGTGGACGTCCACGCAACACAACGCCAGCTAAAGATAGGTACCTCCGTCATTAGGAAGGGGGTAACGTTTCTTTTGGCGTTTAGTGTATATAGAACTTGAAGAGCCGTTGAATGGCGAAAGATCTTGTGCAGATATAAAGGAGATTTGGCAAGAAGAAATATCTGGACTCATATTTTGTATATTTATTGCTTATACACCTCTGTGTGTCGGTGTGTGTGTCGGTGTGTGTGTGTGTGCGTGTACGTGTGTGAGTGTTATTGTCACAATGTTAACTTACGCGCAGAGTAACAGGTGATAGGAAAACAATCTCTTTTGATTATCATGCAATTTCGTATGTGAAAGTCTGGAGGGAAGTGTGTTACATATTTTATGACATTGTAAAATTGAGATCACTTGGCGGGAGTCTTAAAATACTTCATGATGCAGAAGTAATCTCAATCCTTCGGAATGAAGTTATAGATAAATGTAAACGAAGAAAGATCATGTGTGGGTGTGAAAGGGTGAAATATGTTCATATCACATCTGGGCGTATTACCACAGCGAGGAGGAAAACTGAGATAAGAAAACCTTTTTCTTGGTTTCCCGTCGGAATGAAGATTCAAGGCCGGTGATTGGAAACACAGAAAAAAACCAAAAACATGGACAACCTAATGGAATTCTTCACGACCATTGATGTCCAATGTTATAATTAATGGAAAGTTAGCTAATCAAGGCTAAAGATCTTTGGAAATCCCTGAAGGTGTTATCCTCATTGTTTGTGTCAACTGGCTTTACCATATCCCAATTACCATGGTGTTTCTATAACTTTTTTTTTTATCTGGTCTCATTGATTATATATATATACATGCACATCTCTGGTTTCCCGGAAATCTAACTGTCACTTAAATAGCTGTACTTAACTCCGCTGTATTCACATCTCTTTACCCTCATTATATGTGTCAACAGTGTCGGCCCGGGAAGGCGAAATTTCAATATTCCCTGTTCCCAGTAAAGCTAAAAAGCAAAGTTGTGCTAGAAGTGCCGCGAAAGAGAATTTGCTATGAAAACATCAGATTACCGTTCTCCAGATTTGCGCGCGAGCCCAATACTCGATCTGTGAGCTTCTAACTGAGATGAAGTTTCAGTTGTTTCAAGTTTCAGCACTTGATCTATGACAAGTTTAAGTATCGGTGTAGGAAAGCCCTCCGAGAAAAGAAGTATTAGAGTTTGTAGTCGCGGATCCAAAGCGTCAGTGATTACCCAGAATGGCATCCTTCAAGTGGTCTTGTAGGTAAAAAAAATATTATTATGAATTATTATTTACATTTGTTGTTTGACTTATTTGACTGTTTTATTTAATTACAGTGGCACCACACCCACCAACCAGTGCAATTCGAGATGGGAGTCCACGCTAATCCGCAAAGACAACGCCGATTCCAACCATCTACGGAGATGTCGCATCCCGACTGCGACGCCACCACAACGTTGTTCCAGTTGACCTGCTAAAGGAAATACCTTCCTTCGCATTCTCAACCAAAGACCACCTTTACAGACAGCGGCACAAAAGCATTCATAGACTCCTTGTCACCCGACGTGAGATTCAGCTTGAGGGACAGTGGACCTTGGCGGAAGCAGGAAAACCCTTCCTCCATCGCATCGATGACAACATCATCATCTTCACCCCAAACAAGAACATTGGCCGACTGTGTGCAGCTGACACAGTGTTTGGAGACGGCACCTTCTCCTCAGCTGCCCGATTGTTCGAGCAGATCTACACACTGCATGCTGAGTATCAAGGCCACATGTTCCAGTTCGTCTACTGTTTGCTGTCCTGGGCTACACTGATCAAGTCGCTGACCTGATCCACCTTCAGTGATCCATCCCCACATGACCCATCAATGTGAAACTCACTCACTCACTCACTCCATCAATGTGACTTATCGGTGAACAGCCTGTGGCTCACATATTTTTTGTTATTTATTTATTAAATTCCTACCTTGACTACGGTATCAGATGAGGTATTTACATTTGAGGCGCAGCAATTCGCTTTAGTCTGATGTAAACTAACAGCAGACAATCAATCAAAACGGACTCAACACTAAAGGCCTTGCGACGTTTACGTAAAACAGATCTTGCCTTCAATCTTCCCAAGAGAGATAGTGTGAGTGTACGTATGTTTATTATTTTTGGTAAATGTTGTAATCAAACAATAATTACCTCCGCAATAAGGACATTTAAACAGAAAATAATAAAGTCGATAATGATTAAACTACACACATGCAATGACGCATTCCCAGGACTTGTCAGATGTTTCCACGCACCTCGTGTTGTTGGGACAGTTGTGGTCTCGACAAACACCCAGTATTTGCTTGAAGAACAAAATGAAAATAAAGTATACATCATTAATATGAAACAGAAAACGTTATCATTGTGTAGACATCAGATTGAACGCAATCACGATATTAAATGACAATATTGACCTATCGAAATCCTTGGAAAAGTTCATCTAATTAGAAAGCAATTACCTAAACCTAAACAGTTAGTCAATGTTTGCACGAATTTTGGACTGCAAATGAAATATTTTGTTTGCCTTCCTAAATAGCCTGTGGCGCATGAACATATTAATTCACATTATCACTGTTCTTAAACTGCACTCAAGATAAGACATACAAGGATGGTCTTATATTTGATATGATAATTAGTGTGTTCGTGCAAGTGAAAAGTTCTTGGTCGGTTGCTGTGATGACGGGATGTCCTTGTTAAAGGTTTGACCTAGCTCTGAATGAGATTAAAGAATTTTAATCTCATGAATAGTGCGTCTGTCAATTACGTACTAAAGCAGTAGGTGATC